TTTTGAAGTGCTTGGCTCTCCTGAACTCTTCCACCACACCGCGGCCATATTTGATCATGTCTCGAACATCCTTAGGACAGGGTGGGTCATTGAGTTTCCTCATCTCCAGCTTTGCCGCATCCTGACAGATACAAAAATAGACATGCTATCAATTTCTAATGTACATTTGTACAAACATGCACAGAGCTCGGTTTGGGTAATGACATCATCTATTACTATTTTACTATTTACATAAAGCTGACCATACATCTTACAGGCTGATTGGGAGATCTAAAGTAAATTGTACAACGAATGCAGACATCCCAACTCTCCCGGACGTTCCAGGAGTTTCCCCGCTACAAGATAGCAGCTCCCCAATGCCCGCGAGGGAAACATTTTATCTAGCAGAGTAAACCTCTATGGGATCCCTATCTATGTTTTTTTTTTTTTATCGTATCCTGACAGCGTCCGCCAAAACCCCCCCCAATAACCAAACAAAACAACCACACACAACAGATAGCAGGGGAATGAATAACCGGCTGATATTGGCCATTTCAAATTGCAATAGCAGGCTGGCTATTACACCCACCCACTGCCAATCAGAAGAAGTGGACCTGAAGTTCTCCTCTGCTAATTGACAGCAGCAGTGGGCGGGTATAATAACCAGCCTGCTATTGGCTATTGCAATGGCCAATAGAAGCCCAACTATTCATTTTCCTGTTATCGGTTGTTTTTTGGGGGGTTTTTGTTCAGGTAACCACATCTAGGACTATAAGAAATGTATAATATGATAATGGGATCTATACCTTCTCTTTTGTTGTGCACTCCCTGCACTCACAAGTGAAGAAGTAGGAATCTTGCAGTCTGTCATTCCGATCTTCTGTGGGGTAGAGTAGATCGATGTAGCTGGTGAACACCTAGGAACAGGAAGGACATTATGATTATTATAATTATACAGGATTGATATAGCGCCAACAGTTTGCGCAGCGCTTTACAATATAAGGAAGACATTACAATCACAATACAATTCAAGACAAGATGGTAAGGGGGCCCTGCCCCTAAGGGCTTACAATCTAAAAAGACATTGCTGGTTAAGGCACCCACCACATGCATCCATTAACAATGCAGTTTTCAGGCAGCAACATGAAATCCCCATCCAAAACTGTACCAATAAAATAAACAACACCCCTGGTAATGATTTCATTTCAGATCTGAGGCACTTGTATTCTCTGTGCCAGTATGCACTGTGCGATAATAATTATTATGGAAACACTACCATCCTTTTTATAAATGTGATATGAGCAGGTTTTACATTGGGTCCCCTTTGCCGAGACTGGGACATTTGCTTTGAGCATCTGTAAAAATCTGTTCCTCCTACAGTCACTTAAAAATCAGTGGCCTAAAAATCAGTTAGGCTTAATATTTTTTTTTTTTAAATCTCTTTGCAAGTCTATTCAGTCTGTTATTTTATGTTCCCTACAACCTACGGGTTAACAATTGCTCATTCCAGCTGGATCAGGTGACAATGTACTTCGAATAGGTGAAATATGGATATTCTGAGAAAAAAAAAGCTCCCCCCCGCACTTTGGGGTTTTCCGGTCAGGGGTGCAATGGGATCTACCATATTCTGCAAGCAAACATATACACAAAGTTTAGGAAAACACCATCAGTTTGCCCATTTAGGGCAAAGCAACAATGTCATTTACTACTCACCTTGCCAGCACTCCCCCACCATTCCTTCCTCTACTGCAGCAGCTGGTGACAATATCTGGTGCATCCGGCTTGGTGGAAGTATGGGAACTGCTCCCATGTGACAGAGCTCAGGTCTAGCAGCCATTCCCTAAACCAGACTGCTGTCACATGACGGAGGAAGTGACGTCACCATTCTTTCTATTCTCTGACACTGGTGATTTTAGTGCTGGCTGCAGCAGAGTGACTAGGGAGACTTGAACTGGAAAGGTGACAGTGTCTCTTTAATGTAAAGGTTCCTTCTGCAGACCTGCAGAATGCTGTACTGACATAGGGGCTGGCAGAAGGGACCACAACTCTAAGGAACCAGCAATCTGATACACACAGAAGTATCAGATGAAGAGCATTCCCCCGTCACTGTAGCTCATGAAAGTAGAGATCGGTGGAAAAGGCAAGTGTAACATCTTTTCTTTACAGGCACAGCTTCTTTAGTACTCTTTAAATTTGCAACCCAGTTGCTTTAAGCATTTGTTCTTAAAGTCCCATTTTTTGCAAGGTATCCATTAAAGTGACACTAAACTCAGCAGTTCAATCTTAAAAATGCATTCAAGGACCCTAACTATTACTAAAAATGTATCTTATTTGTGTATCACTCGGCTGTAGATCCTCAAATCATCTCTGAATTGGTGCCGACACTGTCCTTCCTGTGTGTGTTGTAAAGTAGTCACCGCTCCAAGATCACTCCTGTGATGGACTACAATCTCAGGTTTAGTTTACCAATTTGTATTGAGAGATTGTAGTTCATCACGGGAGTGAGCTTGGAGCGATTACTACTTTACAACACACACAGAGACCTTGGGGAACAAAAGTAGCCACCCTCCAGAAGAGAGGACAGTGTCAGCACCAATTCAGAGATGATTTGAAGATCTACAGCCGTGTGATACACAAATAAGATATATTTCTGTTAATAGTTTAGTGTCACTTTAAATTAGAATGAATGTTGTAATACCCTCAAAGAGCCACATGGGGGCATTGTAGGACAGTGTAATCCAATACAGCAACAGCTGATAAAACAATATTACTCAGTGTAAATATATTCCTGGAGCCTGTGGCATGTGTACATTTATTCAAGGGGTCGATTTGATTATATGTTAAGATTACGAGGAAAGGTCTAATCAACATTCCAAGCTTACACAAAGAAAGTGGGCCGCTGCCAGACTATGTCTTCCCCATGCTGACATGTCTATCCCGATAATCTTCCAGCTAGTTGGGACTTCTTCTGTTAGTCAAGCTTCACAGCAAGGCTTGTTGCTCCCATGTTACAAGCTGGCCAGCTTCCAGCCAGCCATAGTACACAGCAGGACGCGGCCCTTCTATAGGTCTGATCTATTTAAAGCCGCATCTATTGAGGTCTGAGGCTCTTTCCCAGACGCCTGAATTCCACATGTATAATGTCAGTAAAGTACGGTATAGCACAAGTATTTCTTGGCATGGGCAGGAAAGGATTGACATTTGCTCGCAACCACTGTGGTTTCACAGTGTTCCTGGAGAAAGATCTTAACAGGCCAGAACAGGCTGCTAGTTTGTAGGGATCATTCTCCATATACCCTCGAGTTAAAAGGGAAAAGAAAGGATTCATCATTTTAATCGTTTTAAAAACTCATCAGTCTAATTTAGAGGAGTCTGATCAGTGTGTCTTAAAGCTGAACTCCAGGCAAACAGCAAAATGCAGAAAAGAACACATATATGGAGTCAGCTTTACCTGCCAAAGGATTTGTATTTTTGTCCATCCAGTCCTGAGCGTTACACACCTTTGCCACAAAGCACAGCCCTTCCGACAGGGCAGACCTCATTTTATCAATTGCAGTTATGTAACACTCACAGGTCTTGGCCCTTCCACAGCCAGTAACTAAAGAGTGAAAGGAGAAGCAGCGGAATAAATCTCAGGACTAAAAATGGACAGTGATACAAATCCTTAGCAGATAAAACCGTTCCAGATATATGTTCATTCGGCGTGTTTTGCTGTGTGGTAGGGATTGAAGATTACAAAGAAATCGACATAACGTCATAAAGGACTTGGAATAGTTCTAACACAGCGGTACCCCACTTCAATTCCTGCAATATAGAAGCAGAACCTTATTCCTTTTATTTTATATAGTCACTTTATATGAGGGAGTCCGACATAACTTCACATATCCAGAGTCATTTGTATGTATTCTCACCTCGTCCCCAGGGTTAATCTCTCGCACAGCTCGGACCTCGGCGACGGTGCCCCTGTAAGTGACAATTACATTGGGACAGCAGCTGTGGTTCATTAGAGCGACGCTGCAAGAGACAGGAGAGTGCACAGCATTAGTGTCTATGTTGGTTACAATTTTATTTCTAACCACCACAATCATAATATAGATCCGTCACATCTCAACCTTTAACCTGCCACCGCTGGAGCCAAGAAGAATTATGACAAGAGTAGCCAATTTCCTCCATCCCTGCCTGTGTTATCTCCCCACTGCCATTGCGTCCAGAGCAAAAAGAAGCTTAACGTGTCTCTATCATGAGAAAAGGTATGGGGGCTGCCGTTCAGGGCCTCTTTTGAAAATGCTGGCTGCCTGGCTTCTATATTTTTGAGTCACAGACAAATGATTGGCAGAATGATCTCTAGAATTGTTCTGGGCCAGAGACTCAAATTATTAAAAGGAGAATTAAGAGGCGAGTGATTTTCACTCAGCCTCATAATCTGGGCCGACCGGTGACAATGAAACTGTGACAGGTCGGCTCAGTAGATCGGGGAAGTGAATGAACACATACCGGCGCTCGCTCACTTCTCGATCTATCCGTGCAGATTCGCCCACTACCCGCTCCTCCAGCGCTGACTGGCGGAACTGACGGGGGAGGGTGCGGGCTCTCTAGATAGGCAGCGCCAGCTGCCACTCACACAGCTGGGTGGATCCAGACAGAATTATTGGGATACGTTCCGGCTGCGGCGTCTCAGTATACCGCGAGCTATTCTGACCTTTGGGTGACGGGAGGACGCTAGTTTGTGCCCTCCCGTTAGCCTTATGAGAACTATGGGGAAAAGCCCTAACCCCATAGTTCTCCTTTAACCCCTTCGTGACGGGAGACGTACAGTGTACGTCTCGTCACAAAGTGGCTATATGACTGGCCACATACACTAAAATAATCTTCTGATAGCTATGAAACCTCCATTCTCAAATAGAGGTCAGGAATGTCAGCTTCCATACTTTTCTCATGATGGAGTCACTTTAACAAAAAAAGTTGGCTGGAGTTCTAATTAAAGGATCAAATCACCCAAAGGGGATATTTGTTATTTTTGGAGCCTGCTAGCCTGAATTTGCCCCTGGCTTCCTATACATCTTGGAAGGTCTAGCAATGAGATCTTCTCATCATAATTCCCGGCTCTGATCCTCTTTACCTGGGAATTCCAGGTGTTCCCATCCACGTTTGTTTGTGTGTGCCAGCTCTTCAAGTTACAATCTACATAATACAAAATAAATAAAAAAAATCTAGAAGAGCGGGGGATTCCTCAAAGTGGCCCCAATATTGTGTGCAGACCTGGGAACCCAGCACAAAGATCTCACCAGTAGAGTCCCAGAGAGATAGGATTTTACAATGGGTGGTGTAACCCACCAAAAACTGAACCAGTGGGGGTGGGCTAACCTTAAGGGAAACCTATACTGGAGACTGGAATTGCTGATCTCATAAAAATGCTAGCTGCTTGCAGGGCTGGGCCAAGGGGTAGGCAGAAGTGGCCGTCTTGGGCGCTTTAGTAGGAAGTGGGGGAAAAAAAAAAAAAAGAGAAGGGCAGGACCCACATCCTATGCTGCTAGAGGACTTCACATCCCATTGGTGGCGGGCGGGGTAACGAATGACGGACACTCTTTGGCCCTTTTGTCTTGGGTGCTAAAGGACCTGGTCGCCGGGCTGGAACAAGTCAGAGAAAAGTCGGAAAAGCATTGAAGCCTCTGGATCAACATAACAGCCATGGAGCTAGCATTTTTAAAAGGAGGATTCAGATATAACTGTTGGCATATTTTCTTGGGTTGCCTTTAAAGCATATCTAAACCCAAAAACAAAAATATAATATATTGCAGCACTCCTTACATGTGGTGGCTGCATTTTCTTTAATCAGGCTCCCATCCTTTATTTTCACCCAGAACGGAATCCAAGCATATCTGCTTTTGTTCACCTCTATAAAATGGGGGACTGAGGGGATTATTTATTTTCTACAGGTATTTATATAGCGCTGACAATTTACACAACACTTTACATAGTGCACATTCACATCAGGCCCTGCCCCCAAGGAGCTTACAATCTAAAAAGGTCCCTATATTAGTAGTTTACAATTTTACAATCATAAACAATGTTGTCTTTCCAGCTCACAGGAAGTGACGAGAACGCTGCATTACTGGCAAGATCAACATGCCTTTTCTGTACATGCCAAATATGTTCTTTGGTCTGAATAAAGAACACTAGTGCAGCTGTCACATCTAAACACTGGATATCTGCAATATAGGACATTCCTGTTTTTGGGTTTAGATGCACTTTAAGGTTTATTTTATACAGCAGACCTCAAATGACTCTGGAATTCAATCGCCGTCATTGCTGAAGGCACGGCGCTGCGGATCCCAGCATACAACGATTTCCATATCTTAGTCAGTGATCCCTTATTACATATTATTAAAAGGGAGCCATGGTGATGCAAGGAAGACGGTCATGCTTTAATTTGCGGATCACACAAGCCTCTCTAATCCATTGTTTAAATGTTGCATTAAAACAGATTAGCGCCAGAGGTCAACAAGGAGGTATAATGTATCGCATATAATTCTGAAAGTCGCTCCTCAGTTACATGGGGGGGGGAATAAAAAAAAATAATGAATAGCTAGAAATAAAAGCTATGCGAGCTGGACATAAAAGAATTATCATGCTGGTCTCTAGATTAGTCCTAATCCTCCCATCTCCAGTTATTTCCCTCAGAACTCCTTGCCTTTAACCTTGTGCAAGGCCATATGTCCACACACAAATGCCTGCGCTTTCATCTGTAATAAGATCCGGCACGCTGCCATTACAGAGGCCCCACAGAGCGGTAATGTGTCACATGACACCGACCAATCAGTAATTAGCCAGATACATTAAAACCTTGTCTAAGCTAATAGGAGCGCCTTGATGATTTAAAGGGGGATCTATAATGTCCAATTAAAGATTTTGTCAGCTCAAGTCAACCTTATAAGTAAACACAGAAGATGGCTTTCTTCCACTTTCTTCCCTCCACTGCCGGACACATGACCAGTGCCAGGGTATTGATCACATGGTCTCCGCAAAACGGGCCTGGGGAAAGTAGCAATTTGCTGCTTTGGTAGACACCATGGGGTCGGTTTATAAACATTTCGTAGAGACATTCACCCTGTGAATCTCTGAGGTGGTTTGTTCTGTGTGAATAGAGGCAAAAATGAATGTGAAATATTTTCTTTTCAGGTCGAAGGTAAAGTAATTTAATACCACATTATGGCAGCTAGATGGAGCAGAGGAAATAAGTAGAGATGTCCCAGCCAGGGATTACTTTTTGTCCCTGCCTGGGACATTCCTTCCCAATCTTTTGTTCCTTGATGGGAAATCCCTCCCCTAACTCATCTGTACTTTAACTGCCAAAGCAAAAACTAGGGAACAATTTTAATGCAGACTCCTACCGGCTGGCAGTGGAGCAGACCTGGAAATTATGGTAAAGAAATTGTGTTACTGAATTGTCACATGAAGCCAATGAGTAATTAATACCACCAATGTCTACAACCTTGCAGTGGGGCTCCCCCAGCTCTGCAAGGGCTGTTTGTTTATGGCTAGGGCTATTATGAAGAGGTC